TGCAACAGCTTAGGTGAGGCATGGGAGCAGCCGTCCCTGCCCTGGGCCAGCATGGTGGTACCTCAGTAGACAGGGCCCACGTCTTGATCCTCTTGTCCACCCCAACCAAGGTATCTAGTGCATCCTTGTGCAGAGGCTGTAGCCTGTTTTCTGGGGCTTGGGGCATTGGCACCATGGCAAAGGGAAATGTCTTAATTCCCCAGAGCCTGCCCAGGCCTGGGGCATGAAACACAGTTTGGAAGTTGGCAGGTAGTTACCCTCCAGCAACTGGTAAGTTGTGCATGTGCCCTAAGTCAGAGGCTGCAGGGTCTCTGGGGTCCTACAAGGGTCTGCACTCTCCTTCTGATATCCCTCTGCCTGAAGTAACATGATTTTAAAGAGTAAATGAAACACACTGTGCCATTCATTAATTGTGACAAATGTGCCATTTTAAGATATTAACTATAGGGAACCCTGGATATGGGGTAGATACAAAGTCTCTATTATCTCTGCAATATTTATGTAAATCTAGAACTATTTTATAATAAGCAGTTTACTTAGAAAAAACAATACCTCCACGATGGGCTGAGAGAGAGCAACTTCAAAAAAAAGAAAAAAGCTTCACATTTTAAGACCTTTCACAGCACTTCTTCCTGCTTTTTGAACAAGGGACTGTGCATTCCATTTTTCACTGGGCCCAGATAATTATGGAACTGATTCGGACTATAAAACCTCTTATTGAATATGCAGTTCTTCTATCTCTCTTTTCTTTCCTCCCTATCCTCACAAAGCAGGTTTGGGGGGTTCCTTTGATTGTTGCTAATAATTATACTTCTGTGTACTGATTACCTACTAAGAACTGGTTATCCTCTGAGATGGGGCTCCCCTGGTGCCTGCAATGCAAGAGACCAGGGTTCGATCCCTGGTTCAGGAAGATCCCCTGGAGAAGGGAATGTCTACTCACTCCAGTATTCTTGCCTGGAGAATCCCATGGACAGAGGAACCTGGTGGGCTACAGTCCACAGGGCCACAGAGAATTGGACATGACTGAGTGACTAACATATACACACACACATCATGGAGATATTTTATATACTTTATCTCATTTAGCCCCTTTATAACTTTATGAGATAGATATTCTCCTTATTTGAAGATGTGGGAAATAGAGTTCCAGGATCATGCAGTAAGTGGTAGGAGAGAAAGTCAAAATGCCTGAGGTTCACTGCAAAGCTGGTGCTCTTTCCTCAGTGCTCCAGATGTATCCTCAGCCCCCAGATACCCAATATTTGCATGCTGCTTGGGCAGGCACTTTGGTTTCCATTCCTCTGAGTATCTACTGAGAGTCTACTAGGTACAAGCATGAGATCTGGTGCTGGAGCCACAGAGTTCTAGTGTGGAGGCCAGCCTGAGCTGCACTGATCCTTTCCTTTGGCTGTACCGATAAGTAGCTGGGCTGTGATGCCCCCATCCTTAACCCACTCTGACATCTGTGCCTCCTGCCTTAGTTACTGGGATAAGAAGGCTCTCAAAAGAGGCATAAAGAAAGCCTTGACAATGGATGAAGAATCTGGGAAGGAGCAAATTTTCATTTACTTCAAAATTTAACTTTTTACCTAAAAAATATCGTGAATGACCAGAATAACAGAAAGCAGGGGAGTAAGATCCTACCATATCCTTTGGCCAGTCACTGGCACCTCACTATTTTTTTTTCTAATATTTATTTTTATTTATTTGGCTGTGCTTGGTCTTAGTTGCAGCACCCAGGATCTTCAGTTGCAGCATGGGAACTCTTAGTTGCAGCATGTGAGATCTAGTTCCCTGACCAGGGATTGAACCAGGGTCCCCTGTATTGGGAGCATGGGGTCTTAGCCACTGGACTACCAGAGAAGTCCCTGGCATCTCACTCTTGTCCCAACTCTAGGAGCATGTGTGTGCTCTTTCTGCATAATAGACAAGGAATGAGTTGTGGAGATCTATCACTTAATTGATAGATCATTGAAGAGTTTTCCTCTTTCTTCAGGGTTTCACTTCTATCCTTACTATTTTTTTTTCTCATTTATTTTTATTAGTTGGAGGCTAATTACTTCACAACATTGCAGTGGGTTTTGTCATACATTGACATGAATCAGCCATGGATTTACATGTATTTCCCATCCCGGTCCCCCCTCCCACCTCCCTCTCTACCCGATTCCTCTGGGTCTTCCCAGTGCACCAGGCCCGAACACTTGTCTCATGCATCCAACCTGGGCTGGTGATCTGTTTCACTATAGATAATATACATGTTTCGATGCTATTCTCTCGAAACATCCCACCCTAGCCTTCTCCCACAGAGTCCAAAAGTCTGTTCTTTACATCTGGGTCTCTTTTTCTGTTTTGCATATAGGGTTATCATTACCATCTTTCTAAATTCCATATATATGTGTTAGTATGCTGTAATGTTCTTTATCTTTCTGGCTTACTTCACTCTGTATAATGGGCTCTAGTTTCATCCATCTCATTAGAACTGATTCAAATGAATTCTTTTTAATGGCTGAGTAATATTCCATGGTGTATATGTACCACAGCTTCCTCATCCATTCGTCTGCTGATGGGCATCTAGGTTGCTTCCATGTCCTGGCTATTATAAACAGTGCTGCGATGAACATTGGGGTGCACGTGTCTCTTTCAGATCTGGTTTCCTCGGTGTGTATGCCCAGAAGTGGGATTGCTGGGTCATATGGCAGTTCTATTTCCAGTTTTTTAAGGAATCTCCACACTGTTCTCCATAGCGGCTGTACTAGTTTGCATTCCCACCAACAGTGTAAGAAGGATCCCTTTTCTCCACACCCTCTCCAGCATTTATTGCTTGTAGACTTTTGGATAGCAGCCATCCTGACTGGCATGTAATGGTACCTCATTGTGGTTTTGATTTGCATTTCTCTGATTTGTGAGTGGACATCTGATCCCTTTTTTCCTCTTCCTGAAAGAGAAATGTAACTTATCATCCCATAATTGTTTTGTGCATCAGTCTATTCAAAATACTCCACACAAGCTGCTCAGCTCACTCCCCACCATCCTCGTGAATGTCTAATCTTAATTACTGAGAACCACGGACTGTGATGTGGAAGACACCAGGGTGGTGAAGCCTGAGGAATTAGGAAGTGGCTGGACTTTTTTTACGAGAGGTCTGGAGGGAGAACCGGAGAGTTCTGTCACTTCAGGAAAAGCTTCCTTAGATGAAGTGCTCTTCTGGAAGGAAACAGAGAAGAGGGGGTGTTTCAGACACAGTATAGAGAGTCGATGAGGAGATGCTTTGTGTTGAAGCAGCTTGGCAAAATTGAGGAAGAAAGGAGGGAAGGCATGTGTGAGTCTGGCTTGAAATGAGTTTTACAGAAAACACCTCAATTCTGGTCTGCACATTTCTGAGGAGTGTGAAAAAAAATGGAGGAAGTCACCTCCAGTGGTTTTGTGGCTTTTTAAGTGTGACATACAGGATATTGAATTTTAACCCCTGGTTTCCCTGAAGGGTAGCCATATGTGGGGGATAAACAAAACACCTATTCTTTGAAATGTGCATCTGCGCCAAGTGGTTCCAGCCACTTGGAATCTCTCTTCTGTTTATTCCCCTTTCTGCTTCAAGTGTGAGTGTCACACACATAAAATTACTCAAATAATAATAATAATAAAACTATGTGGTCTCCCTAGGAGTTCTGTATGAACATATAAAAATGTATTCTAAATATGACAGGAATATGTGAGTCTTTTCTTTATAATAGAATTTCATGTGAGATTTTTAATTTTATTAGTGTCTACTGTGTGCTTCCATTCCAGAAAGCTCTGTAGACTTAAAGGATGTTGTTCCCCTCAATATAAGTCACGTATGCAGGAGAGCCCGAATAGTTTTTCTATAGCTGTCTGTAGCATCATTAGTTCATCTAGCATTTATAAAATTAATTTCAGTGCTTACTGAGATAGGGTTCTTAAGTCAGTAGCCTTCCATGTTAGCTTAGACTCACAAACTTTGGGGTATGGTGACATACTGCAAACACTTAAAAAGAGTTTCATTACCCAGCAAAAATATGAACTTAAAAGCAATGCTGTATTTTTTTTTCTTAACAGACCACTGAGAAATATTTACAGAAAGCCTAGATTCCTATGGTAACAAATCTGAGCCCCCAGCTTTCATCAAAAAATCTGCCACAGTCACATCTGGCTCCACCTAAAAGTCCGGTTCAGAATTTCCCTGTGATCCTGCGAGTTGCAGAAGAGAAGTTTTAGCTTTGTTTAGTATAACAAGAATTGCCTAGACTCTAGGGCCAATAAATGTGTTCACGTAAAACTCCAGACAGTGTCTCCGAGACCGAAGCCTTATCGAGGAGACCTCATTTTGCCTCGACTTAAAGGGAGACTCAGAAGAGAGGAGGGCTAGCCTTCTCCCCTCGCTTGCGTTGGTCAGTGTCTGCTGAATTGAAAGTTATTCCAACATTTGCACATTTCCCCGGAATGAATGAATGCACAGGCCTTCCAATGTAACTGTCAGTTTCCCCCTCCACTTTTCAGTTGTACGTTTCATTTAGAAGAAAAGCCAGATGAGAAAACGCTTTCCTCATTTCTCCTCTAGATTGCAAACACTCAGAAATGACATCACGCACCCTAAAGAATCCCGAGATGACTAAGGCACAGAGAGCCTGAGAAAACTGACTGCTTCTGCCTTTAGTTTTAGGACTCATGTATGCAGATGAGCTTTTAAGAGCCGGTTCCCCGCCTTCTTCCTCAGAGGAAGTTTCTTGGTAGATCGCAGACACCTCATCTAGCCCGGGGGCGGGGGGCGTGAAAACTTGGCACCAGCCATCCCGGGCAGAGCACCACGGTGATTTGTTCTCCTGGTGGAGAGAGCTGGAAGGAAGGAGTCGGCGCGCAAATAATGAAGGAGCACGGGGCCACCTTCAGTAGCGCCGGGATCAGCGGCGGCAGCGGTGACTCGGCTATGGACAGTCTGCAGCCGCTCCAGCCTAACTACATGTCTGTGTGTTTGTTTGCAGAAGAATCTTATCAAAAATTAGCAATGGAAACGCTAGAGGAACTGGACTGGTGCTTAGACCAACTAGAGACCATACAGACCTACCGCTCTGTTAGTGAGATGGCATCTAACAAGGTAAGAGATGACCGTTTTATTCAAGAAAGTGCTACCGCGCGGCGAGCTGTGGACTCCCTTGGCCTCTGCCAGCTGCAGAGGTGCATGGGGACTCGACTGTCAGCTTTGTTGATCTGCCTCCGATGATTCTGTTTGAAAATGCCACTCTTCACTTGTGTCTTGATGCTTCAGCCCAAGCTATTATCCTCAGTACAATTCCCAGAAACCAAACCTTTTTCTTATTGATGTCTTTTGGAATGTGTTTAAGGTGAGAAGTGTTTATGAAATATACAAATCACTATACAAGTGAAAAAATTTTTTGTTTTGTATCTGAATGAACCCATAGGTGAAATTGTTGTGTTGCAATCAAGTGTTATATATGTTTTTTGAACAAGAAAATAATGCGACTTCTGTATAGCATTGGCGAGAATGATTTGCCCTGAAGTTTCCTAAATTCTGAAATTCTCAGAAGGACGTTCTGGGATTCTCAAACCTTTCTTTTCTGATGCTGGTATGACCTAAGATTAAAAAAAGAAGCAAAATACTTTGTCTCCAAAAAAGAAAATTACTTTTTAAAAGTTTGCTGCTTTGCATAATGGAATCGTTTGAAATGAAGTTCCACTCATGTTGCAAAGAAATGGTTTTATGTACAGTGCCCAGACAAAACTTAGTGTTGGGGAGTTTTAATTATCTACCATTATATCATTTGTTTAAGTAACACCTGGATTTAGAGTGCTGATTTATGAAGTGAGAGTTGTTGCTTTTTGTTTGTATTTTTCTCTCAGAGAATGTTAACTATATACATATACATATGAATGTATGTGTATTTGTCTATTATTTTAATTGAAATCTTAACACTGCACCCTCATAAATACACATTTCAAAATCCACAAACATCCTAGCCTGAGGTATTATCTTTTGTCTTAAGAATTCTGGGGATGGGAAGAGACTTTGCTTCACACCTGCCAAAAGCCCTTTCCAGCCCTGAATGTGCGTCCCTGCTCCTCTTTCCTGGGGTTAAAAGGATTGCCTTCCTATCAAGACTTGCTGGCTCCTGCTCAAAGGATCTGAGCAGAGGAAGCATCACATCCCAGAGTTTAGTGGGGGTGCACAGAGAGTGGGCTTTTCTTACTCTTGTTTGTTGGTTAATGAAAGGGCAAAGAAAAAAAAAAGTCTCTCTCAAAGTCTAGTTCAGATTCAAGTTGGAAAAAAAGAGGTTTGAGGTTTAACTATTTATTGACTTTTCTCTGAATTTCTCAATTGAAGCTAAATTCTGGGTTTTTCCAGGCTGTTGTAAATCTCAACCAACTGCTTCCCCATGAGAAGGGCTTAACTGTGTAACTTCTCCAAACCACACTGGAGTCCGTGTACACAGAAGGAGTCTCACACAGGCTCTAGCCCCCTTTGAAGAATTCATAGAGTCTGTGTTTGCATTTTGTGATCATTGATAGGTATGCAACATGTAGATTCAGTGTTTAGGGGTAGTTTTTTTTTTAGCAAGTTTCATCATAAAGGATACGTTGAACTTTCTTCTAGAGTCACCAAGATAAAGTAGGCACCTAGCTTTAGAGGAAGAAAAAGATTACTCATTGAAAAGCTGCAAATTGCCATGAGTTTTATTTTTGAATGTTGGTGCCTTGTGGATTCTACCCGCTTTAGTGTCTGGAGTGCTGAAATTAGATATTGTGTGTCTTGCAAATTTATTATAAATAATTTCATATTCAATGTATAGTTCATGAGACACTGACACCAGGGACCATGCAGGTCCTAGTGAGAATTCTAACTGCTTCGGGCTTCCGCTTCTCTTTATGGTGTCATGTGCAGGAAGCAATGAAAGTTGAATAGAGCTAACCCTAAAGAAAAGGCTAAACCTTAATGTTTACACAGTTAGTTTAAGTAGAAGGCATGCAGCTTTACCTGTTTCTAGAGCTACATTGGAGAGGTTATAGGGCAAAGCAGTTACCCTGTGATGAATAATGCCCAGCTGACAGGAGAAGTCAATTTCGGTTTTTACAAAGATCTCTCTCTTTTTACTTGGCCACTTACCCCCAACCCCAAAGTCCTGATTATCCAGATAATCATCTCAGGTGAAGCTTAGGTCATGGCACATATAATGTAATATAATGAGAATATTTTTATGGCCACCAAAAAGAACTTGATTTATACCAGTTTAGGGGTAACTGAATTATCTGTGGTAAAATTAAAATTCCATATTCAGTTTTAAATATTGTCAAAATTATTTGAGTATTTCATCTGAACTGCTGTTTAAAATTATCATCATCATTGTGTAGTCTTTTTTGGTCATCTTTGGCTTACTCTCAGTGAATAAAGGAACTGTAGCAAATCTCTCAGTTATAGACTTGGAAGTAAGTGTGAAGATATTCTATACTGGAAGTATGTGAAAAGCATGGGCTTTGGAGTCAAAAGATTATGGTTGAAACCCTGTTTCTGTCATTTATTAGCTACTTGGCCTTGGCCAACTTACTTAACTGCTCTAAGACCTAGTTTTCTTCTGTAAAATGGGATAAAAGTGGTATACCTATCTTGCTGAGGTTGTTGTGAAGACTGAGATTATGCATCTGAAGCACTTAGCAAGGCCCCTGATATGTAGGAAAAGTTCAAGAAGTGATAACTTATTAATAGCATCCACTGTTGCTAAGTGTGCTAAGTGGCTTGAGTCGTATCCGACTCTGTGACCCTATGAACTGTATCCCCAACAGGCTCCTCTGTCCATGGGATTCTCCAGGCAAGAATACTGGAGTTGGTTGCCATACCCTTCTCCAGGGGATCTTCCCAACCCAAGGATCGACCCTGCATCTTTTTGTCTCCTGCATTGGCAGGCGGGCTCTTTACCACAAGCGCCACCTAGGAAGCATACACTACATCTTTGCAAAAACAATATGTTTCTCTAGTTGTGATCAGCTAAGTGACTGCTGAGTTTTGTTTGCAGCTTCTGAACTTACACAAGAGTGGTGATGGGAGAGCCAATGTTTTGCTTTAGTGTTTGGAGATTAGATGTATGCCAGTCAAAATGCAAATGGTAGAATATTGACTGCATCTAGTAGAGGAAAAGCAAGTGTCTATATTCAGTTCATCTGGCTTGGGATGTATTTGTTTGTTTATTGTTTTTTCTTAACCTTTTTGAAGAAAGCTGTGACTCAGATATTCCAACTATCCCAAGTGAACTTCAGGGCTCAGAGAGTTAGATAAGAAACTGTTTCTATGACTTCTCCTTACCCCAAATTTCCCTCATCCTTTAGGCCCAATGGAATTCCAGAATTACAGAGAAAGATGCAGCCAGGTGGCTCAGTATTGTAGATTATTTTCCCCCCAAGAATTACAGCAAAATGGAACAGATTAAGCAGGAGTTTTACGAGGCAAAGACATTGTCTTTCAAGATGAGAAGAACGTCTAGTGAACCTTCTGCCAGTAGCCCAAGTTCAGCTAGATGTGTGAGAGCTGTTTTCTGTAACCACAGCTTGCCTGATTACATTTATTCATTAATTTTTGTTTTAACTTTTATCGCCTCCTGAATTAGAATTGTCTTGCACTTCAGTGAAATGCATCAGAGCCTGAGTTCCTCAGTGGCAAAACAGTCAGATGTTTTGAAAACAGGATGCTTGGGCTCCACATTAGAAAAAGAGGAACGGAAAGAGAAACAGTATAGAAAGGAAGAAAGCAAATAACCTCAGCAGGATCCCCAGCCCAACAACGGCATAAACACTGACCTATCTTCCTGACCTTCACTGTGGCTCAGTTCCTGACCTCGTGTCACCAAAGCCAACCGACGTCATTGGAGGAGGAGAGGGGGAATGGCGCAGCTGCTCTGAGGGTGACTAGAATTTCCTGTCTCCTTCCTGACACACGCAGGCAGAAAAGTACAGAGTTACAACAACAGTGGCGGAGGAAGGACCGACACAGAACGGTCCCAGTGAGGTGGCGTTGTGACTGGCAGAGAAGAGGGAGGTTTGACTGGGAAGCAGAGTTTCTTGCCTAAAATTTTCAGGTGAAAAATGTCAAAAGGGTCATTTGTACCTGACATGTTTAATGTTTTTCAAAAGATGAACAGACTGTGATATGCACTAAGGAGCTATGTTCAAGCAGTTGGTCGCTGATCTAACTTTCTCCTAAAGTCCCCCATTTCTCAACCAGCTTTGCTCTGGGGCTATTTTATGTATAGTACAAGATTTGAGCCTTATCTGTGAAAATGGAGGTTCTGCTGTTATAAAGAAAAGACCTGAATAGTATCAGTACTTCTTTACAATGGAGCATCAGGACCCAGCCTTTCAGTAAATATTTGCTAAGGAAGTCTGTAAGATAGCAAAGGGAGATAGAGGGACCTTTTTCTCTAAGGGCACCAGAAAGTCTTCTACAGACAGCATCACAGGGGGAATGAGTCCTCTCGGCTATGCAGGTTATTTTTCTGCTTCTTCAGGTGGGGCTGTACTATAGCACCAAATGTTAAACCAACTAATTGCCTGTGCCCTTGGGGCGGGAGGGATTAAAATCATAGAATTCTGCCAGCCTGGAGCCTCCTGGGGCCCAAGATGCATGTCACTGAAATATGACCATGATAGGTTGATTTCCTTACCATTGGTGAGTCATTCTCTATCTACTTGTATAGTCAATAGGATGGGAAATGTTGGATCTAGCAGAACTGAAAAAGAATAGACCTTACTGGTCAACAAATTCATCTCACACCTCTGTTAGGAAGATGATAAGCCAATGACCATTTATTGAAAGGGATTAATTCCACTTTGCCCCAAATTAAATGACATGCTTAGAAGAGTGCCCCTCCTGGGGCCGGAGGAGTCCTCTTCCTAGATCCTGTGTTTATAGAGAGCCTAGCCTAGTCTTCGTCCAACTATGCTCTGCTCCAGGGGATGAAGAGGCTGCTGGGTCGAGGTAGCACCTGTGTTACCCCTTCTGGTCTATACTGCATCCACTAGACTCCCACATTTCTGCTCAAATGGCTTTGAACTCACTTCCAGGGTCTATTCAGGCCTCTTTCCTGGATGTGC